AACTTACGACCGTCCAATACCGAACAAAATAACATTGTTGAATTAGTAAAAAGTATATTATTTTCTCATATGTTGAGGCGAGACATTCAGTTTTTTAGCATCTGGCTCGTATACTTCGCAGATATGCTTAATTTATCAGAGACAATTAGCGTAAGAAACAAAATGATTTGGTTCTTGTATACCAACAATGTGTTGATGTGCAACGACTTGGCGCTTTACATACTCGTACATAGTTGCTCAAAGAGGTTAGAGGCATGTTATTGTGTTTGCTCAATCATTAAAAAAAGCATGAATATTAGAATAGATTATTCAGCATTTTAGATTCTTCAAGAATTGTTATAAATTCACTATTGAAATGACATGTAAAGCTAGTGAATATAATTCAAGGCTTTTAAATTAAAGATCAATTTTTCAAAACAAATTATCTTGCAGGTACTGTACAATCAAACAGTTTCAATTCCATTATTAAGAGACCACAATTCATTAATGCAATAGTAAACGACATCGTAGGTCGATATTTCAGAAGAGATATCGATAGATCAAAAAGGAAAGGAATGTACTTGTCTATGTTTTCAGGGGAAGGGAACCAAACACATTATAGTTGGCCGCATGTGCAAGTCATCTTCATATCATACGTGTATCCCAGTAACCGATTATGGCTTGATTGACGTTAAAATACCAGTAGTTTTTATTTGTAATAATTAAGTCATAAATAGGGAAAGGCATATAAAATTATCTCACTGATAGCAAAGCATTTTGTAGTTTGATGATTTGAAGATTATGTACTTTAATTTATTTTTTAAACTTTATATAGTGTTTTTACAGTTTATATCGTTATATTTTTTAATGTGTATTAAATATTTTAACTCGTTTACTTAGCAACTGACTGAGGTGCATTTACATTTTTGTTATTTGACACCCTGAGACTTTCAGAATATTGTGACGTTCTAAAACACACAACCTTGTATTTTTTGTGTTGCTTCGCGCTCTTTTGGCCGCCTGTGTTGACCAACAGCGTGTCTCCATCACATTTTGGTTTTATTGACGTAAAATGACGCGTAGTTTCTATCTAGATTTTCCATCTACTTTCGTATTTATAAAAACAAGGCATAAAAATATACGATTTCCTTGCTTTTATCACATTTGTAGTTTCGTGATTTAAAGATGTGGTTTATTTTTTGTTTTTACGTATTCTAATTACACACCTTGAAACTTTCAAACGTTTTCAAATACAGATACTTTTATCACAATTTTTTGGCGACGTATTTTATCGCCTTTGAGTGCCTTCGCAGGATATCAACCCGTCCTCCGTGTACTCCGAGATCAGTTTATATAGTTTAAGTGACGCTATATGACCAGTAGGTTTTTAGCTATTAAAAATTAAGTCATAAGAAGCGAAGGTATAAAACTCTCTTTCTTGTAGCATAGTTTTTGGTTTCGTGAATTAAAAGTTGTGTTTTTATTTATTTATTAATGTTCACATTTATTGTTTTATATTTAAATGCCTATGGTAGTGTTAAGTGTTCTACAAAGAAACTTGCAGAGTAGCATTTGCATTTTTACGTAACCGTTTTAGACCCTCGGAAACTTTCTAAATACTCTGACTTTCTCAAAAGCACAACCTTGACTTTTTCATCAACTGGTCGCTATCACATTACGGTTTGAGTGACATAATATGACTATATAAGCCATAAAAATACATATACAAGTACTTCGCTTCTATCACAGCATTTTGTGGTTTCGTGATTTAAAAATGTAATTATTTTTAATTTGTACGTCTCCACACACGTTTCACACAATAAAACTTTGAAACGTTTTCAATGACATATCTTTAATCGCGTTTTTCTTCACCACGTAGCTTTTATCTAGGTTTTACCTTCTACTTTCGTATTTATAAATAGAAGCCATACAAAGATATAATTTCCTTACTTCTATCACATTTTGTAGTTTTGGTATTTAAAAATGTAATTTTATTTTATTTTTTACGTATTCTAATTATTCACCTTGAAACTTTCAAAAGTTTTCAAAGACTGGTATTTTTATCGCGATTTTTTTCGCCCCGCACTGTACAAAATGACCTGTGTTTTTTATCTAGAGTTTAACTTCTACTACTTTCAAACGTTTTTAATGTGTTTTTCTTCGTTTGTTTGATTCTTAGTCGTTTTGTTTTGTGCTTTGAATGGCGCTGTGACCCGGCGGTGCGCGTGTGCAGGTGATCATCAACCTGTCGGTGTACCCGATCCGCAGCACGCGCCTCACCTCGCCCTGCGAGGACGGCTACATGTACGTGCCGGTGGCGTTCCTCGCCATGCTCTACCTGCTCTACCTGGTGGAGTGCTGGCACTGCACGGCCGGCGGCGGCGCGGGAGCGGCGCTGGGGTGGGGCGGCGCGGGCGGCGGCGGCGGCGGCGGCGGCGGGCCGGGCGACGGCGTCGTGGACCGCGCCTGCCTGCTGCAGCGGGTGCAGGAGATGCGCGAGGCGCAGCCGCACGTCTGGTGAGCGGCGGCGGCTGACCGCAACGCACTGCCGCGGCGGCGGCAGGAACTAATTAGATAGCTAGGTGGATGAAATAATTATATGCGTCGCCATTACCAACGATATTATTTATTAAAAAAGCAGCTTTCGATGGCTTAGCCATCATCATCATCAGTTTTCTGCTGTATGGAAGCCACAAAAACGACTACGGTGCTAGGTGGAGTTCAATGGCTGTCTGGAGGAGAATTCTAGCGGCCGACTGCTCTGATCGGTGGTTTGAAAGGTCAGGTGAATGCCGGGGCAGAACCCTAACAAACGGGCCACGGACCGCGCGCGATCTTTCCTTCCTTTTCCTTGTCCTATCCTTACCTCTTACTTACCCACACTTACACTTTTATGCACCACACTACACACACACTTCAGAAGATCAGTCAGGAGCTTAGAGCTTGTCTCGACTGGCGCGGTGCCCCGCTGGAGGGAGATACCTGGTTGCGGAAAACCCCCCAAAGTTGTTGCAGATTTCTGCCGGATCTCGCCATCCAGTAAATCATCCCCTGCCACCTCCTGCAATTAAAAACGTTCACCACATTTGCACGACTAATAACCTTTGCACTTGGCATGCCCATAATCACAAATCAATCACATGATTTTTTCATGTTTCCGGGCGCGTCGACTGCTATAGGCATTTATCCCATTTGATCGAGTGCCACACGAGTGTCATTTGCGCGCAGTGGAAATTGGCAATGACATCATTGATAACACAGGGGAACAAAAAAAAGTTTTTTCACACCTCCAGGATACAAGTAGGTGATTTCAAAGGAAATGATCACGCTGATTTCAAAAATCACTATTAATGGTTTTCCATTACGCACTAGTGTAATAGTGTGTTTAAGTAAACGGTGAGGATATGACAAGGAAGAGGAAGTAAAGATAGCGCGCGGTCTGAGGCCAGTTTGTAAAGGTACTGCTCCAGCATTCGCCTGTGTTTATTGGAGCAACCACGAAAAACTACCGACCAGAGCAGCCGGTCGCTAGTGTTCCCCTCCAGACAGCGGCTGGAGTACGTGTGTTTCGAAATCCTGCCACCGGTACAGCATGATAGAGAGATCGATTAGCATGGTATATAAGTCGCCCACTTAATCCGACGGAATAGTCTCGTCTATCACTTTCATTTCGAGTACGCGCAAGCGCAGACGCTCAAAATGCAGTCGATTGCTGAACACTATGCCGTGTCAAAACTCTGAGGAACTGAAAGCATAGCGTCAGCAACTGCCAATGCAGAAGATCGATCATGCTTATCGATGATAAGCATAGCCAAAAAACTAGAGATATACATCCATTTGCCGGAAATGGATGTGAATCTCCTTCTTTTCTGTTCCCCCTTCCACAGTCCTGAAGCTTTTGTCTGTAGGCGAGGAAGGGAAAGTGTTTTGCCACCACTACGTGCGTCACAACCAGTCCTTTCCCCTCAACTTCCCTCGTTTCCGTCCTCACATCTTCTTTCAATTCCTGAAGCCACATCCACTACCCCACCCACTTTCTCACTTGACGTCTCTTTCTCCGCCCTTCAACATTCACACACTTACCCTCAAGCGAATCTTATCCGTTCTTTCTCACTTACTCCTTTGCTCCTTCCCGCGACATGTCTCCTTCCCGTTCTTCTAGCATTTCTTTTCTGTTCCACCTTTTTCTTCCCCGTTCTTTATATCTCCGTCGTTTTACCCACCACTTCTCCTCCAATGCGTGTGAGGCGTTGGTGGGTGGCTGCACGGGGGAAGATAATGAACTATCAACACGTGCGGTAGTAGCAGTACTATTCAACCGTAATCCTCCATTATTTTCATTCCCGCCTCTTTCTTTATTTTCCGTCCCTACATTATTCTCTGATTCATCCTTTATTTAGATAGGCAACCCTGCCCATCTTACTTGTTCCTATCTTCCTCGCATGCTTCTTCCTTCCATTCCAGATCCACTCCTTAATGTGTTCTTTCCTAATCCACTCTACTCTTCTTGTTTTCCTCTTTTCCCTCCCTGCTGCGCCCCTCCCCTTTTAATCCATTTGTCCTTCTTCACACCCTCCTCTGCAGCGTCTCATCTCCTTACTTTACTTTTAACATTTATTTACCCTTCCGCTCATTTTATCCCTGTTTTTTACACTTCTATCGCAATCTCGCATCGCTCCCGCTCTCCCTCTCATTCCGTGCGTGTGAGGCTCTTGTGTGGAAGGGTGTGCGCAACTACTGCGTGCGTCGCAAGATGCCTTCTTCTCTCATTTCCCTTCTCTTTCTTCCCTGCACCGTATCTTCTTTTTCTCCACCCTCTCTCGTTCCTACCCGCCTACTAATCTTTTTCTTCCCTTCGTTCTCACTCCTACTCCTTCCCCTTCTGCAACTCCTTTCCTCTCCTTCCCTCTCTTTTACCTCTTCTTTCCCCTTCCACCCATCTCTTCTCCTTCTTTTCCGCTCCACCTTCACCCCACCGCTTCCCACCCGCGTTCCCTCTTCGTGCGTGTGAGGGAGGTGGGTTGGTGGGTTGTGCACTTCTACTTCCGGAAAATGCATGTGGTTCTCCTCCTTTCTCGTTCCCCTTGCATAGATGTGAAGCTTTCGTCAGTGTGTGCGGCAGGGAAGGCGTTGTAATACCTCTACGCGCGAAGTAAGCATCCATCTTCCTTTCCTCTTCTTCCATCTCCCCTTTCCCTGAGTTTCGTCCCTCGCTTCTCACCGAATTTGCTGCTCCTCCAACCTTTCTCATTTCTACCCTCCTGCTAGGCTAACCCGCTTCTTCTCTCCTCGCTCACTCTCCTACACTCCGTCCCTGCTCACCTTCTGCACATCGTCTCGTCTCCTTCCCGTCTCTTCTACCTCTTCTTTCCCTTTCCAACATTTTTCTTCACGTCTCTATCATTATCAAGCACTCTCATCTCCATCCATGATCTTTACATCTCTATCATTATCACGCAGACTCATCTCCATCCATGATCTTTACATCTCTATCATTATCAAGCACACTCATCTCCATCCATGATCTTTACATCTCCATCCTTATCAAGCAGCCTCGTGTCCTTCCGTGCGCGTGAGGCGTTGGTGCGTGGGTGGTGTGCAGGTGGAAGGCGGTGTGCTACCACTACGTGCGGCGCAAGCGGCAGGTGACGCGCTACCGCCACGGCGACGCCTACACGTCCACGCAGGTGTTCTACGAGCGCGTCAACAGCCACGCGGCGGGCTCCTTCTTCATGTACGCCTTCTGCGGCGTGCGCGACGCCTCCCCGCGCCTCGTGCTCGACAAGGCCGGCCCCATCACCAAGGTGCGCTTCTCCAAAGGTGAGCCATCGCCAAGGTGCGCTTCTCACCGTCACCAAGGTCCGCTTCTCACCATCACCAAGGTGCGCTTCTTCAAAACTGAGTTATGAACCTACGCCATCACCTAGGTGTGCTTCGCCAAAGGTGAGCCTCCAATCCACGCCATCAGCTAGGTACGCTTCTCAAAAGGTGCCATCGCGAAGATGCGCTTTTCCCCATCACCAAGGTGCGCTTCTCCAAGGGTGAACCACAAACCTACGCCTTCACGGAGATGCGCTTCTCAAAAACGACGAAATTATCCCACCACAATGCGCATGCGCATCTGCAAATGCGTGGTCACAATCATATCCCATCACCAAGTGTATATAATGTAAAGAGCAAAGTGCGCTTCTTCATAAATTACTCCAAGAGAATATCTACTGAGAAATATTATATAATTCTACATTACTGAAAAATGTAATTACATTTGTCAAACTGACTATTGGAAGATATCGATTGCTCTTCGTATTCATGTATAGAGATTGTCGAGCTAATATATTTTTAGAGCAAATGGATTTAAAAATTAGCATTAAAATTAGCAAAGTAAGCCAAATTCTAGTGCGCCCCTAAACGATCACATCACAAAGGTGCTCGACTGCAATGGCGAGCCACAATCATATTCCACCACCAAGGTGCGCAAAGGTGAGCCTCAAACTCACGCAATCACCTAACAACGCTTCTCAAATGCTGAGTCACAAACCTATACCATCACTAAGATGCGCTTCTGAAAACGTGAGCCATGACATCAGCAATGCGCACTTCTCCAAAAGTTG